TCCGTGTGATGCCAAATAGAGGATAATACTCCTGATGATTCGTTTATGGAATTGAATAGCAGTCTTTCTTTAGCAAGCTCTAGAGTATTTTTCTCTTCAATGTCTAGTACGCTTGTGCAGCGAGGAACTACTTGCACCGAAAATTTTTAAAGAGTTCTGTCTTTCGTCAATTATACTGACCTATAGTTGTTGCGTGCCACACGAAAACGGTTGTAAATTTCAAGTTGAGAACTTAAAAGTTAAAAACAATGAGCAAGTCTTGGTTGGTTTGGGCTGCAAAAGCATAGAATAATGTAGTGTGAGTGTGTTTTTGTTGTACTGTTTGAGCCTATGACTATTTAGCACATTGGGCTCCTCTCTGATCCAGGCCACACCTTTTACAGTGCTCCTTGCCTCTTTTGTTACTCGAAAGATCATTGATATATTGCCCGTGATGAATAGCCATTCAGCTCAGTGTTTACCCGTGGAATTCGGCCACCTTTTCCACAGAACCTTCTACCCAAAAAAATATAAAATATAAAAAATATAAAAAATGGCAGCAATGGAAACTGCGTGCGCGGGAAAAAGTCTCAAAAAACCTGCAGCCCCAGCCAGGCGATGCCTAGACACCGGGACCACATGAGGTGCGCATATTCATCTATACCTTCCTCCTTTGTAACATTCGAGGCCGACTTGATCCAATCCACCATCTCCGTATCGGGTGCTGGGTACGCTCCGGGAACTCATCGGATGGCATCTACTCCATGATCAAGGGTTGGTGATGAGTAGGACTCCGACCCTACCATCTGACCTGATCGTGGTTAGCTTCATGATAATGGTGATAGGGGAATGTGTTGAGTGATGAAGACGATACAGACCGCGAAAGCGATTGGGAATCCTCGTCGGAGTGAAGACTTTGTTACTCAATCTCGGCTCTGCAGACTCTACAGCAAGAGCTGGAGGTTCGTAGGGGACACCACTGGCAGGTGTTGAGAATAATCCCCCAGAATAATGTAGTGGTTATCTTGATTTTTTCGATTAGACTCTGTAGCAATTTGCTTCAATTCTAGTAAAGTCAACGAAAGGGCTTAGACAATACTTCAATTTGTACAATTTACTCCTAATCAAACCAGGAGGCCAGCTGCTCATCGCCTCGAACTCTATGTGGATATTTCATCATTGTACTTTTATAGTCTAAGAATCAAAAGGACATATAAGTCCTCCCTACCTACAAGCCATAAATACCCATACATCACTCAGTATATCCTCTCCCATTTCTCATTTAAAGCTCTCTTCCAGTAGCATCACTCTTCATAAACTCTCGGGCCAAAGTGTCCCGAAAATTTCAAAAACTTTGTGAAGGAAACCTGCTGTTTTGGGTTGCCATCTACAAATTCGTCCTCTGATCTCATCGAGGAGCATATAAATTAGTCATAAAGATGATATGACAGGAAAGAATACAAGGCGAGAAGATTTGTTTTCTGACCAGAAATTGGGAAGTCTGCAGGGCTGGATAGTTTTGTGGGTAGGAGTTTGGTTTCAAAGGTTGAATTTTTGTACGGTCGCGAATTTTGAACTAGCTACTTATTGTTTAGTGGTTCATGCGGTGGGATCAAGTTGGGCTTATCAGAGATAGGATCTTGGCTGTGAAAATCGGTCCTTGACTCCTCGGGGATAACGGGTTAGACCTAGGACCTAAATGAATAAACAAACAAACAAACTCTTCATAAACATTCATTCCAGCATTAACTCGGAGGAGATCTTTTCATGGCAATTTACATTCTTCCAATAAACTAATAAAGTTCAGCTTAAGCGTGTAAGGCGGCCGGAAAATTTCCTAAAAATACTCGGTGGGACAATACCTTGATGCAGACATGACCACTAAACTTGAACACATGGATATTCTTCTGAAGCGTTTGAGGCGACTGGTAGGCCAAGCGCTATAGACCTGCGAAAATCTATAGGGATCGCTCTCTGCATCCCTAGGTTCCTTTCAACTTTTCCCGTCATTTGCGCTTTGGGAAGAATCAAAGGCTGCTATGAAATGCAGGGAAAGCCTTGATTTAAAGTGTACGCTATACAGTAGCCTAACCTAACTTCTTAGTGCCGTCTTGTATGGCGTAGGAAGCTTTAGATCCAATGAAAGAAGTACTTCTGACCAGGGCTGGACTTAATCTCGGCCCTGCAGAATCTACGGTGAGTGTTGGAGGTTCGATGGGAGCATCGCTGATAGGTGCTGACTTTTTATCCTCCTTGTGTGCAGATATTGAAAGATTCTGCAGTACACTAGTGATATACTCGGCCTTATCATGCATAGTAGTTCATAGACCATATTTTTCAATCTTCTTGCTAAATGTTGCTGTATGTTCTACTTTCAAAATTTACATTATCCACCCTTCTTTTTATTCTCAGGTCTCTTAGAAATTATTTTTGTAATTAAATGAGCTTCGTAAAGTCGTTATCCCCCGAGTTTGAACCATCAGGATATTCTTAGCATCATGTTGATGCAAGTAGGGGTCCAAAGACAGCACTAGTATCCCCAGCAAGGTATTGAGTCATTAGTTGAGGGCGGACTAATCCTGTAGTCGAGATTTTCAGGACAGCCAAAGCCCACGATTGCCCGGAAATTGCCGTAGCAAAGAGAAGAAAGTTGAAAGATCGGCCTATGGGCCGGTATCCGTTGGATCATAGCATGTGACTGGACTTTGAGTCGGAGCAAATATTTCACTCCGAAATTAGTGGAAGCTGCCGTAAATAGACATTTAGCCTCCGTCATCTAGCAGGACACATTGCATTTCAATGATGAGCACTGCTCCGCTTTGTAATGAAGCCCATGCTCTTGAAGTGTTGGTCTGGTCGATGTGTCCTAGTCGTGTAATGAGGCAAACACTGTTTTCACACTTTCACCATAATTCATCTTTATAAACGGACTAAAATTCTTTATTTCAATTGATCTGGGCTCAATGACTGTGTCTGATTGTCATTAGCGTGTGTGATAACATAATTTGATCTAAGTTGTTTATATGTCTCGCAGTATTCGCGATGATCTTGCTTGGGTGGGAATCGTGTCTTTCACAGCTTTGGTATTGCACACCGGACGTCATTTGACCAGCTAGCGCAAGTTGTGCATCCAAATGATCCTTGGTAAGAACGATGTTATACTCTATCATTAGCGAGAGGTAATAATTATGAGTTTAGGGCTAGAGAACTAGCCTGTCACAGAAACTGGCCCGCTGGGGCTAGTCGATTAAACGTGCGTAGTTGGCGATTATTTGGAGCAAGATCTAATTTCATTCATCTGTGCATGAGCCATGCTAAAATGAGCAAGGGTGGAAAAGGTAGAAAGCTCTGATGGACATTTGTGATCGGCCATAACGCAAGGATAGTGAAAGTGCTAGCTCTACCAGCTAACATGCGGGTTCCGAGTGCAGGCAGTCTGGGATGGTGCGGACGGGGCCCAATTGTTTTATCAGCGGCTTTACAACATACTTTAAAGCATACACTGTCATCTGAGAAGAAAAGTTGGCCAATTATTTCTGCAGTAGAATACATGTTACAAGGGAAAATTAGCGTTGTTGAGGGATGAGGGGCTCTTAGCAGTATTTGCAAGCTACCCGTGTTGGTCGCATTTAGCTCCCCGGCGTCTTAGTAAAGGACGTATCGGACCCTTAGACTTTCTTATTCTCTCTCCACACTGGCTAATATTATCCGGCGCTTCAACGTTTGTCGCAGCCTTCATAAAGCTACAAGATTTGTCAGCCAGTAGTCTATCGTCAAACCTGAAATTTCCGAGTTTGTGTTGAGTAGCTTCTCCAATGCCGAATGCAATTAGTACACATGACTATCCGAAGGAAAGCGCACAGCAATCCATTTAGCTAGTCTCAGTTTAACAGATATTGGGGTGTAATTATTGCATGGATAGAGAGCTTGACTAGGTACAGAGGATCATGGTAGGAGACAAGCCCAACGCACCCATCGCTCCTATACCCGATAAAGCAGTGGAGCCCTAGAGTGATCGAGCCATGGTTCGGAGGAATCGAAGCACGTCTACTTATCCTAAATTTTTGATGTGCGTCGGAGGGTCGGCTTGATATTCATTAGTCTATCGGTAGGGCTGCCACAACATGCGGTTGGCTCGAATAATAGGGCATGACTTTAATTTGTTTTGACCTGAAATTGCTAGTCCGCTAACAATCATCGGCAGAAAGTGTATTCTTGGTCTTCTAGACCTATCAAAAAATAATTGGGAAGGTACTAGGGCTTGGATTACGCGGAGCCCAAGCAAGAAAATAGGGTATCGCATTGCAAAGTTTCAGGCTAGACCTGTCATATTTCAAATGTGAATGTCTGAACTTTACATACAGCTTGGAAGGAGTAATGTGGGACGGAGAATTTGCCGCCGTACGGTAATCATCTCGATCTAGTCCGGTCCCACTCATTTTATATTTAAATGCTAATTGCGTATAGTCTGAGCTTCATTTTCAGGGTCGGACTTAAAATATCACTCTTGAGTTCATGGCGAGTTAGAAATATCTACAAGTGGTGCATCAAAGATTTACTGCAGCTTACGTGTTAAACAAAATCTTTAAGAATTGAACGACAGGGATACATTCATAGTTATAGAGTTGAGGCCGCATTGTAATAAGCTTTGACTAGACACATGGCTCCATCATCCTATCAATTTCCACACTTTTAGCCCCTGTCGTAATCGAGCCCCGTCATTCTAGAAGTTATCATGAAAACTCCAGTCGTGAAGAGATGCAGTAACTGCCCCTGTTTCGTCATGCTGTTGTCGTATATTAGTAAACATCATTGATTGGTGTAGATGAGAATTAAAGGTCACGCTCATGAGAAAAGAGCGTATATATTCATTCATAAATAGCCTGCTCGGTTCTCCAGTTCTCCAATTCATTACGCTCCGGTCCTCGACAGTCTCTAAATCATTTCTTTGCATCATAGTTGGAAAATTTTGGAAAAAAGGGAGGATTGAAGTCTAAGAAAACTTGCATCGTTATTCAGAAATGAGTCAAGAGGGTCAAACGCGGGCCGTTTTGATTCAGGATACACCAAGATGGCTCCTAGAATTCCAAAAATTAGAGAAAGAAGATCTAATTGTCCTTATCACTCCTGTGGCTAATCCTGTTAGCCAAGACTACACTGATATTAGTGATCCATTTGAGCCTCTTGGTCGCTCTATATCAAGCAGACACGCTAAAATTGCCCATGTTCCATATATCCAAAGGTAACTAAACTTGCCATACTACATCCAGTGTACCTCTAATTTGAAGTAGAAAGGGCTTGACTTCAACTCATGTGGGCTTCATAGAAAAATGCAAGCTCATAATATTTTGTCTTCTTCCGCAACCTGATAGAAGCTTACAGCTGCAACTCACTGATCAATTGTTCGAACTTGGAGACAATAAGCCGATTATTGTTGTACAGATCTGCGACCACTTGGAGCTAAATTCAGAATTACCATTGCCAACCGTAATCAAAGCTCATGGGTATTTGCCTCCAGCTCTTGAAGCAGTAGCAAGTTTGATCTTCGCAAAAAATGGTGAAGTTTTAAATGATTCGGAACCCGTAGCTTCCAATCTAGCCGGAACAAATCTTAAGTCATGGACAGTTGAACAAATGAGCGAAGCACGAGATATGTCCGGCATAATGACCTTGTGGGAAGAATGCACTGACGGAAACTTTCCAATTAACCTCGAGACTCTTTCGGCACTGCTCCGTCGTCCTGGATATTCAAAGCATTATGTCGTTCGGAATTCTCCAGGTGGCGAAGTACTGGGGTTTTGTGCGACTTACCTCTCGTTTATTGATCAGAACCCAAAAAAGGTGCTTGCCTCGTTAGCCGCTATTCTTGTAAGACCTTCCTATCAAGGCCAAGGTATAGGACTTAGTCTTCATAAATATATTATCGAACAATTTAGGAGGAACCCCGATGTGACTCGGCTTCAATTTGGTAGCAATTTTCCGCGAATTTTTCGAGGTCTTCCGTGCACCATGGAGAAAAATGAAAAATGGTTTCAGAATCGAGGATGGAAGCTCGTTACCAAGCAATCAGGAAAGAGTCAAAATATCTTCGATCTAGTCCTGAAATTTGAAAATTGGTCGATCCAAAATCGTTGTCAAACGGAAGATTCACTTCTGTTTCGGAGATGTACACACAATGATATGCAAAAGGTACTAGAACTTGTTAGAAAATCTGCCTACACACACACGCAAATAGGCTGGTATGACCAGTATCTTAGCCTCGAAAATGGATCTGATGTAGGTGATATAATTTTGGCTACAGAGGGAAACAATATCATTGCTACAGCAATTACATACACTGCTAAAAGTGGTACACAAGTGGCATTGAATCTTCCATGGGCTGCTGTCATTGGCGATCATGTTGCTGGTATGACATGCGTGTGCTTAGCTGGTATGTTTAATTTACTTTAATTCTCATTGGGATAATACTGCGTATCTAATTAACGTTAATGGTGCATCACATGGCTCACATATTAATCTACAGTTGATAATGCCAGCAAAATGAAGATCGAGATTTGGAAGGGTTTTCTTCAATTCTGTGTGTCTGAGTTCCAACGTCTGGGTCTGAAGGAATTATTTCTCGATGCAGTTGTGGACGATGTCGATGATCTATTACAGCAGGGTAGCGTTACAGAATTTTTCGTTTTTATCAAAGCTAACTTTTATGAAGGTCTCTGTGAGTGGGCTCGTTTTAGAGATATGTGGATGGATGTAAGAGCTAATCTTTCTATCGAAATGAACTAATTCAGTCTCTAACACAGTTGGTAGTAAGTTAAGGTTCACTAATGATAATAAAACTTCCACCGTAAGACATTAAATGAGAAGAGATTTCTGGACAGCTTTTGTATAAATTTTTGAAAAGGATCATCAAAGCTAGATCGTGTTGCCATGATTTCTAAGTCTGCTTTTTGGTATTCAATTTGTGTAGAAATCTTAGCTTAGCATGCCTTGAGATTACAGCTAGATAGATTTATAAAATACTGTTGAGCCTATGCTTAATGATATTGAAGCCCAGACTTACAATATTCAAACTTTTGAAACGTGTAATAATTAATTACACAAAATATAGTTGGCTAAATAAGGTGAGGAAGTGGCTTGATTCTAATTGATTGATTGATTGACTGATTTAAATTTAAGTCTCTACTGAGTCCTAGACTATGAAAGACTACTTGTAGATCTACCTAAACAGCTCTTTAATTTAAAGGTTAATTTCTTATTTGAATAATAAAATTATATGCCTGTTGATCCTAAGGGTCAAGCCCTAGGCTTGATTCTGATATTCAGTGGATAATTAGCTTTAGTAACAACTGAATAAGTAAATAAGATTTGACCTTTTTTCAATAGCCCAGAGATCATCTTTTACAGAAATGGGATTTTAAGCCTCTTTCTTGGTGTTTTATCTCATATAAAATTATATCTGGCCACACTAGTAATAGCTTAGTTTTCTCAACAAAAGCTTCTACTTTTCTGTTGAAATTTCTTCAAATTATTTGTGTCTACCGATTTTTGTTGGTGGCATAATAGATTATCTGTCGGAAAGAAGTTCAATTTGCTTCGCACTTTGCGTAGTGCGTCTCTCATTTGCTGAGTCATTGTCTTGATGACTCAGCCAATACCACGAACTACACGTTCGCAAAGTTCTTCGATAGAAAAGGAATAATATATACCTCACTTTTGTTACCTTTCGTTTTGCATTGAACTAATCATTGGTATACATAAATTAAGGCCAACCGACATTACCTGTTATCTAGTTTAGAAACTCGTAAAATTGGGTCTATCATAGTAGAGACAGTGAAAATTATTAAAAATCTCAATGATTTCGCTGTATGCAAAGTGTGGCTTTTTTCTGTTAAGTTAAATGTATAGGGATTTTGACAATGAAAATATCTATCATTGAATTGATTAGAGCCAATAACATGTGAAAAACAGAATTATCTAGATCAGTTTAGAGTTATAGATAATACAATATGAAAATACATGAAGTGCCATTCCAAAAATATTTGGCTACAATGAACATAAATCAATTCTATCCAAACTAGTTGATTTCATTTCCCATACCTTGATGGGACTAGAAAGTGGCGAGTATCATTTTTGGAAAAAAGCAGTTAGGATTTGTACTCGGTATCTTAAAGTTTGTAGAAAACCTAAGAAAACATTTAGGACCCTATAGTAAGTTATCTTGAGGTAGGCATCTAGATTTTAGACAACAGACCTTTGATTATATTAGATTCTTATTGACGTCTCTCTTGAGCCTAAGACTATAAAAGGCTGTCAAATGCAACATTATGAGCTTTTGATTTCTTGTTGTTATATCTATATATTCAATTTAATTCATTCTAATATATCTTGAGGTTCATACCCTGGATAGAAATTTGATGTGATCATTGCGAAGCTTGAAAACTGTGATCTAACTTATTGACTTAGTTAGGATTAAAAATATTAAAGGGGTAGGTGCATTGTTTATATAGAAAAAACATAGTTTTAATTATAAAATTAGATGAAGGTAAAATTCCATGGAAAGGCGTACGGCACATGGTTTTTTGAAGTAAGTGATTAAAAATATTAATTTTACTTAACGTAAAATTCGAGCAGATTTCGTACTTTTCTTCTACACTGTCAGATTAGGCGTAGTGATGATTTTAGCGTTGAGATTGTCTTTAATCTCTTCATACAGCTATTGCTATCATAGCCATGCAAATAACCTCGTTTTTGTACTGTTGTAAAAATTGGCGATGTAATCTCTTCTGTAATTTTATATTCACATTCCGTGCTGCTAGTGTTGGTCTGAGGAATGATTATTTCAGCCGTGTAAATGAATGTTTCGCGGTGTGACGCTGGTTTGTTTAGCGTGGTCATTTCTCACGATATTTTTATGCGTTAGATAATAAAATTTTCCAGTGTGTAACCTGACTATCCCATTTATTGTACCATGGATCAAGGCATTCTAGGCTTCATCTTATAAATATCGAAAATTTGAATGATGGTTCTATCAATAATGATTAGATTATTTTTCATAAGTAATAATTTGCACGGATTTGACGAACCAACATGCGTAATCAAAAGCCTAAGAAATACTGGTCTTGTCAGTCATGATTCACACCTAAATCAATGTGAAGGCAAAAAAATGAACTCAAAAGAGTATCAAGAATCAATCCCTTGCTCAAAAGTGCTTTATCCACCTTGGACTGCAAATATTATTTGGAATTAGCCTGGTAACACTTCCCAAGTATATCATTAGAACATTCTTTCTGTGGTGTTGTTTTCGTCGTTGTAAATTTGCACATGTGATCAAGGGGATAATCCAATTGCCTTGGATCTGTTAGGTGAATGACACAAATTCAGGACGGATACAGGGCATCTTTCAGCGCTAGCCCTACGAAACTACAAATCATGTACACTTTCATAATCTGATTTAGTTAAATTCCAATTAAAGAGACACAAGTTCAAGATTCGATGAAACAATATTCCCCACCATATCAATATCTAACTCCCACCAGCAAAGACGAATTTTTCACCTTACAATGGTGCCGGTGTAATCGCTCAGTATGCTCTACATAGCTGGGATAATCAAGGATTGCATCCGAATCGATGTCTAAAGCCAATACATGCAAATCTCCATTTGGCGACTTCTCAATCATGCAGCACTTACCATTATTTTCGAAATGCTCAACCTCTTTCTAACCACGTACCATCTCGCCTCAACGACCGATAATGGCGTCACCCCAATTGCAAACAGGAGCTTGCCTCATACAACACCGGCCATCGCTCACTACAAATTTACGATGCTACGTATACCCGCAAGGACGAAATTTAGTCATAATATACAAAGTTGGGGTCTTAGTTTTTGGGGGACTGATGCTCTAATGGGGTTGTACATCTTGAGGAAGGACAGGCGGCTGAGATGTGGAGCGAGTGAGGGAACAGGTTTCTGAAGGCTGTACTGGGACTGATATTTTTGAGGGTTTTCAAATTTGGAACGGGGGGCCAGACTGAACACCTCTACGTGGTGCTTTCTACGAACCTGGGAGTGAAATATTCTCCCAGAGCCAAGTTCAGTCAAATTTCGCAATATCAAAGAAGTTGACCCACGAGGCAATGATTCAAAATACTCCGCCACGTCAATTTTTCACACCCAACGAGTTCGAATCCTATCCAAGCCTCATCAAGTCTACAGGTACGACAAAGTACATCCTCATTCCAATAACCACACCTCTCTTCGATCTTCTCTGGCCTCAGTTGAACACCAAATACTGGCCCACGCCGATATTTATACCCGACGGAGGAAACAAAGCGTGGCGCACAAATCTTGGAGACAGTTCTTTGGGATGGACGTGAGAGGGATCAGGGCAAGTTGACCAGATGATGCAAAGGAAGGATACAATACGACGGGCATGAAATTCCGAATTTTGGCAGAGAATTTTATGAATTGGGCTTTGTGCGCGCCAAGAATTCGCTTGCGAGAGTGTAGCTGACAATATAAACACAAGTCAACGATGGAAGGTGTTGTGGTCCGCCTCCTGGTGGTGTTCTCTGGTTTAGTTTGAGTAGCCTGGGCACCTTCTCTACTTGGGAAGGAGACGCCTCAGACCACGTTTCGCGCGGAGAAAAGTTGAAAGATGATGGAGGCATGTCTGGATAACTCAGGGTTTTTGAGACGTTCCCCCGGGTAGGTATTCACGGATGAGGGTTGACTTGGGGTGAAGAAAAAGCCACCATAACTTCGCAGTGGTACTTGCAAATGAAATCCGAGGCATGAGTGCTCTTCTAGTAAATGAGTCATCTATTATACACTTCTCTGATACTGTGTCATAGCTGCATGCGCAATTAAAATCTGATGCAAAAAAAAAAAAAAAAACAAACTCGGAAGCCTCGGCAGTTAGCAACTGCAGATTCTGAAACTTGGAGAGCATCCAAATTTTACCAAAGTAGAGAGTCTGGACGGCAAAAACTGAGTTTTCAAGGCTCACCATTCTTCCTATATCATAACTCGACAAGGGCCCAAAGCAGTTTGGCAATGCAAATACGAAGTGAGAACATGGGGCTTAACTCGTATTTACACAAAAGAAAAGTACCCGAAGTATCAATTCCAGGTTGTCCATGTGGCTACAAATCACAGAACCTCAAGCATATGATTATGTGCTGCCCCCGATGGTCAAATGGTAGAGCTGAGATCTGGGGACAAGCCAAAGATCGGTCCTACGAAGCGATGATAAACAACCCTGGAGACATCAAAAGGATAACACAGTGGATCTTAAATCAAGGTTGGATAGAGCAATATCTATCCGGCTTATATGGATAGCACTATAATGTAACTGCGCTTCCTGAAGAAAATGTGTGAAAACTAAAAACAACAAGTAGAAAGGTGCGGGGGTTTTTCACCATAAGGGTTTCCTCCCGTGTAAATATTACAGTTTGTAGACACCTGCATGGGCCCACAGGGCGCCAAATCAAATCAAATCAAATCAAATCAAATCAAATCAAATCAAATCAAATCAAATCAAATCAAATAAAATCAAATCAAATCAAATCAAATCAAATCAAATCAAATCAAATCAAATCAAATCAAATCAAATCAAATCAAATCAAATCAAATCAAATCAAATCAAATCAAATCAAATCAAATCAAATCAAATCAAATCAAATCAAATCAAATCAAATCAAATCAAATCAAATCAAATCAAATCAAATCAAATCAAATCAAATCAAATCAAATCAAATCAAATCAAATCAAATCAAATCAAATC